CCCTGGAGGGGCACTGGGAGCCACTGTCCTACCCTGAGGCCTCGGGGCTCCGGGAAAGCAGCACCTCTCGGGCCTGAGCGTCACTGATAGAGACAGAGCCGAGCCTTTCGCGGACGGGACCTGGACCCGCTGCTCCAGGCGCGAGGATCCCTCTGGAGCAGGAGGCCAGGCCCGAGACAGGACTGACTCGTGACCTGCGGGACCGCACGCTGCTGGCCTTGAGAGCCGCCTGTTGCTTCATGGGTGCCGCGTCCGAATCCCGCCTCGGAGTGGGGCCTGCAGTTGCTCAGGCCCCGTTCCTTCCCCGTGCTGTGGCTTTCCTTACTAGGGGCCGGGCTTGATCTTTGTCACAGCTTTTCTGTTACTTTTAATTAAAGTCTTTTTTTCCTGAAAATTCACGCCCCTCTCCCCATAGTATTGGGAGTTTAAACCCAGAGCCTTCACCCTGAGCTACCTCCCCAAGCCCTTATTTTTTTACTTTGACACAGGGTTTCACTAGATCGATAAAGTGCCCAGGCTGGACTTCAACTTTTAATCCTCCTGCCTCAGCCTCTCTCCAGAGACCCGTACCACCATGCCATCTCAAATTCATGCTTTAGTTTTGTTTTTTTTTAAAGTTTATGTTTTGTTTCCTTTCTTTTTTTTTTCTTCTGGTACCGGGAATCAAACTCACGACTTTGCACTTGCCAGGCAGGCGCCGTGCCGCTGAGCTAAATCCCCAGCCCCTCATGCTTTAGTTTTAATAGCCATTATCACTAAAGCAAGCTGGGCGTGGTGGCTCACACCTGTAACTCCAGCACACGAGAGGCTGAGGCAGGAGAATCACCAGGAATTGAGTCCAGCCTGAGCTACATAGTGAGTTCAAAGCCAGCCTGAATGACATAGGAAGACCTTGTCTCAAACCAGTAAACAAGGGGCTGGGGATTTAGCTCAGTGGCACAGCGCCTGCCTAGCAAGCGTAAGGTCATGAGTTCGATTCCTGATACTGGAAGAAAAACAAACACACACACACACAAAAAAAAAACCAGAAAAAAAAATCAAACCAGTAAACAAAAAATCCAGTATCACCAAAGAGCCACAGTGGCAAGTGACATGTTCATTCTGAACCTTCTGAGCAGATGTGTGGACCAAATCTGTCCTGAGCTGCTCCCTTGGGGAATGTCCGTCTCTTCCTGTGCTCCAGGTGCATCTGGTGACCCTCGGTCTCCCTCTGCCAGGGGCCACTCAGAAGCTGAATTCCGTGAGACATTTTGGATTTTCCTGGCCTCCTCCAACCCAAGGTTGATTGACCTTGACTCCGTTATCAACCTCAAAGTAAGCACAAGCTGTGGGCCCAGCCCTAACCACCTGGAGCACCTGGTGTTGGCCAAGCCCAGTTGCTCGTGGGCCCCAGCCTGACCACCCCAAGTCCCTAGTTCAGAGCCCTGCTTTCAAAACAGCCCCACAAGAGGGAGAGACACTGCCCCTTCACAGCCAAAGACGCTTACGAAAGAAACCTATGCACATCTGCAAATGCACTCAACCTGCCCAAGCTTCGATGAACAAGGTGGTCAGAATAGACCCCCTGGAGCGGGAACTTCCGAACCAGCTTCGGAGGAAGGGACTTGTGGGACTGATGCTCTGAGGAGCAGCCTGAGGCGAGCAGAGATAATCACTGCAAAGCATGCTTTCAGCACTGGCTATTTGCCAAGCAACGCAGGAAGCACTTTGCTGTGTCTGCTTCAGGAGGAGGAGCTGGATGAAGAACTGGAGGTACACGGAGGCCAAGTGACTTGCCCAAGGCCACACACCCCGCAAGCACCCAACCACACCCCCGCAGGTCAGGACAGAGATGGCGACAAAGTCCAGGAAGCCCTGGCTCCCTGCAAAGTGGAAAAGGGGGGATAAAAAGAATAGAGATTCGGAGTCCTGATCCCTTCGGCCTTCCAGGACCGCCTTCTGTGACCCCCAACCCCATCTGTTCCCCCTCCAGTGGTCCCCACCAGTCTTGCAGGGGACCCAGTGATAGACTCCAGAAGAGGTAGGGGCTGGCATGGGAAAGAGCTCGTGCTCAGAGGAGACCTGAGGACCGGGGCAAGGTGATCCTGTCCCAGAGTGTAGGAGCATTGGCCCAGGTGCCACTCACAAAGGCGCACGACAAAGGGAAACAAACCAGTGCACAGGGAGAACTCTAACTCAGTGTGACTCCAGGGTTTTTTTTTTTTTTTGTAGTACTGGGATGGAACCCAAGGACCCCCTTATGCCAGGCAAGCACTCTGCCACCAAGCTATAAACTCAGTTTTTTTGTTTTTTTGTTTTTTTTTTTTTTTTTGAGACAAGGCCTCCCTATGTACCTCAGGCTGGCCTCTAGCTTTCGATCCTCCTGCCTCGGCCTCCTGCACTACCACACCTGGCTTCAAAGTCCTTTTCACTCCACAACTCTGCTTCTGGGGTTTTGTTTTTTATTTTTTTTTATTTTAAAAATAAAAGGAGGAAAACATTAACAGACAGACAACATTTTACAAAATAGCAAAAGAATAGTACAGACAATACAGAGTTACAAACAAAGTGATAGGAAATTAACAATGCTTGTTGTCTTACATACTGATATCTTCAAAGTGGTTTCTCATGAATTGGGGTTTTAGAATAGATATGCATTCAGCTGAACTGCAGGAGAAATTTAAAGCTGGGCCCCAGAAAATAGGGTGGGAGCCGCTCTAAATTTCCATCACCTCATCCCCAGATGGTCTTGCAGGAACCCTCCAGCATGGAGCTGAGAGGCTGGACTGCCACCCTCAGGGAAGGGCACCCACTCACCCCCTACCACACTGGGGCCTCTGCTCCAGTGGGAGGAGGCAAGATGGCTGGCTTCTAAGCGTCATGGCCATCCAGGGTCCCAGGGACACTGCAGAGAGTGGCACACTGGCCCTGGAGCCAGGGTCTGGCCAGCCTTCTGGCAGGGGAAGTCTTTTCCCTGCTGCTCTGAGATTCTGGGGGCCCTGTGCATTAGGGGCACCTTCCTTTACCAGCATAGGTAGTAAGCAGAGTGGAGCTGAAATCACTGAGGGCCTTTGGAGGAAAGCAACCAGGAGACAGGAACCAGACCATGCATATAATCCTAGCACTCTGGGAGGCTGAGGCAGGAGGAGCAGCTCTATTACTTTGGCTTTTCCAGTATCGAGGCCTGTGGGCTTGGTCCATCCACGTTTTCCTACCATGCCAGGTTCCTCCTCATCAGTCCTCACAAGGGCTTTGCCGGCAGAGCACACATTGGTCATGCTGGGGAGATTTAACAATGTTTGATTTCAGGTTTTGGGGGATTTTTGTTATTTTGGGGTTTTGTTGGTTTGGTTTGGTTTGGTTTTATTGAGACAGGGTCTCACTATGTAGTTCAGGCTGGCCTTGAACTCATAGTGATCCTCCTGTCTCAGCCTCCTGAAGTGCTGGGGTTATAGGAGTGCACCACCATGCCTGGCTTCAAGTTTCTTTTTTCTTCCTTTTTCATTTCTTTTCTTTTTTTGTCTTTTTCAGACAGCATTTCACTATGTAGGTCAGGCTGGCCTTGAACTCATTTTGTAGCCCAGGTTGGCCTTGAACTTGCAGGGATCCTCATGCCTCAGCCTCCCGAGCGCTGGGATTACAGGCATGGACCACCACGTCTCCCTCAAGTTTCTTTTAGAAGAGAAAGCTGGACATGCAGTGGAACACACCTGTAATCCCCAATGCTCGGGGAGGCTGAGGCAGGAGGGTGCTGTGTGTTTGAGGCCAAGCAGGCTGCATAGTAAATGCAAAGCCAGCCTGGACTACATAGTGAGATCCTGTCTCAAAAAAAAAAAAAAAAACAAAAGAGAGCTGGGGATAAAGCTCAGCAGCACAGCGCCTGCCTGGCAAGCATGAAGTTGTGAGTTCAATTTCTGATACCAAAAAAAAAAAAAAAAGAAAAAGAAAAAATTAAATTCACAAAATGCCTCCTTCCTGATTCTAACAGCCTACTCACTTTTTTTTTTTTTTTTTTTTAACTACAGCCTTGCGCTGGTCTTGGTGGTGCATTCCTCTAATCCCAGCACTCGGGAGGCTGAGGGAGGAGGATCGATCAGCCTGGGCTACATAGCGAGACCCTGTCTCAAAATGCAAAAACACAACTGGGCATGGTGCCACACGCCTGTAACGCTAGCACTCTGGAGGCTGAGGCAGGAGGATCCCTGTGAGTTCCAAGCCAGCCTGGGCTCCATTGTGAGTTCAAGGGTAGCCTGGACTACATAGCGAGACCCTGACTCAAGATAAAACAAAAGCCACGTTGATACTATCTCAAAAAGGAAAGAAGGGACAGCCACCAAAAGCCATGCGGCACCCGCGGGCGCCGCGAAGGGAAGGCAGTGCCGGGCGCCTTGCACCGGCAATGACCGCTTTCGCGTCGCTGTGTCGGGAGCTGACCCGGAAGCGCCCACCGTCACAGTCTTCTGGTCAGGCAGAGACTTCGGTCCCGGCGCGCCCCGGGAGGACGGTCGGGGCGACCGCGCGGGCGGCACCCTCGGCCCGGGCATCCGCGGCGCCGCCGGGCGTGTGAAGGCTGCCCTCTCTCCGCGTCCCCGCGCTCTGTGGGGAAAATCGCAACCGGGAACTCTGTGTCTGAAAAGGCGGGGGACTGAGGCAGATGTTCACAGCCACGCTTACAGTGAAGAATAATTATCTTTTTCCCCCCCTTTTCGCTTCTGTAACAGACACCTCAGGGAAGCGCGTCGCTCTTCCCACACCATTTACATATAGTCTCTGAAGAGCGCGCCTTCAGGAGAGAATAAATATACCCTCCTCATTGGCCAGTTTCTATGTCAGTCTCTCCACTTCGACTGCCATTGGTGTGTTTTGAAAAATCTCCCTAGTCCCGCCTCCCTTGCCTCATTGGTTCATTCGAGCAGGCCTGGTCAGCCGTTCGTTGGTGAATATAAAAGACCACCTACGATTGGTTCTTCCGGACCGAGCTGGTCCGTGATTGGCTTATCTGATTTGGGCGGGCTTCCTCCTGCTCAAAGAGTCCCAGGGACCTCTCCTAACCGACGCGCGGCTGTGGAGAGCCGGTTCGGTCTCTTCACGGGCTCGTGGCTTCACCGGTTTAGTCGCTTTCGGGGCTCTCGAGCCCCTTCACGACCGTCGCCATGGAGTTGTCCCCTCTGCAGGTGCCGCTCTCGGGAGGGGCCGGGTGGCGGCGGAGGCTGAGCGCGCCCCGGCCTCGTTCGGCCGCGCGTGAGGGGTGAGGCCGTGGGCCGCGGCCAGGTCACGCTGGCTTCCCGGGGTCGCGGCCGCTCTC